CCCCTATAGTCTGATCTGGGGGGTGGGTGAGCGGATCTTCCCGTGCCGGTGCCCCTTGGGGCTCGGCGCTCGGGATTCCTCCACAGTCACTATTAAATATTCCATTGGAGAAATCTTGTATATACACGCATGTTCACAACCTCTCACAAACAGGTGTTCTGATCTGGGGGGTGGGTGAGCGGATCTTCCCGTGCCGGTGCCCCTTGGGGCTCGGCGCTCGGGGGTCCTCCACAGTCACTATTAAATATTCCATTGGAGAAATCTTGTATATACACGCATGTTCACAACCGCTCACAGACAGGTGTTCTGATCTGGGGGGTTCTGACTGGTCACTGAGTGTGTATATATGTCTGTGTGTATATATGTCTGTGTGTATATATGTCTGTGTGTATATACTGACAATATTTATGAATGTAGTCATGTATGTATGTATATCTTTATGTATGTATGGGTATGTGTATGCAGTACATTTTAAATGCCCTCCATGTATTTATCCATTTATTTTTCAGGTGAGCGGACAGATGTTGAGTGTGTGGTCCTGCGTTTTGTTGGTGTATATTTAATATACTTCTAATCGCTATTTCAATCTTTCTATCTTTCTAATTACTTCTCTCTCTGCTTTTCTCTCTCTCTATTTTCTCTTCACTTAAAAAAATCACTGATGATGAAGAAATAAATAAACTAAATAAACTAATATTTGGTTTTGTTTTCTACTGAAGTGACACACACAAACACACACACAAAAAAAGCCCTGCATAGTCCTTTTTGATTTCATCATTAATTCCCTTTTATGCACTCAGCCCCTACACTTCAGGACCTGTTCCCCCTGATCCCTACTTTAACCCCATCCACCCCTCCCCCCCTTTTTTCCTCCTCCTCTTACCTCCTCAGAGTGCTGAGGGTGTCGGTCAGGCTCTTGACCCGTTTCAACATGCTGTCGAGTTTGTGAGGCTCCTCCTTCAAAAACTTGACAGCCTCCACCTCGACTCTGAGGACAGCTCGCATTCTGGTTTGGAGGGCTGGAAATTCTCCTGAAAGTTACCAATTTAATAGTCAGATTCTGTAAAAATAGTTAGATGTAGACTGACTGATTGGACAGATGATTGGCAGTACACTTTTATGACAAGTGACACTACACACTTGTGCCAATCAAAAAGCACTTTTTGTGATAAGTATGTCTTTCACTGGGATACCTTTTTTGGCACAGCATCGACACGACGATCAAAAACACAACGAGCTAACTTTTATAGAAAATACATCATATCGAGGAGGCGGGGCAAGATGGCGGAGGAGTGAGACATGTGTCGCGTGGCTCACGCTCCGACTTGTTCAGTTTGTGGTTCTATACTAAATGTCCTTGCTGTTTTAAACATTTGGTCCATTCGGACTCGACCCCTGAGTGATTATTGCCTGGAAGAGTAGAAGAATGGCGACAAACTCTAGGAAAGGCAAACATTCTAGCTCAATGGATGTTAGACCTGACACCACCTCAGAGCTAACTGCAGCTAAAGCCGGACCTTCGGCGCCCTCCTCTCCCTCCCGCAGCGAGGCGGACGCACTCTCCTTGAADTCTGACATTCTTGCCGCTATAAAAACCGATCTCTCAGCTGTGATCAAATCCRAAATAAAAGCGGCTTTGGCTGAAGAGTTCACTCTTATTAAAGGGGAGCTACAAGCTGTGAGAGCTGAGGTGGCTAACGGCACGATGCTACTGCGCGCAGATCTGGACCACGTTAAACAGAGCGTTAAAGAAGTGGAGGACGGCTTGTCAACCTGGTCCGACGAGTTTGTTTCTCTGCGCACCACTGTGTTTGAACTGAAAGAAGAAGTCGGTGGGCTCAAAAAGAAGTGTGACGATATGGAAGGGCGCATGAGAAGGTGCAATGTGCGGATTATTGGAGTTCCTGAAACGYCAGAATCCAGCTCCACTTCAGCAGTGGCTAAACTGCTAGCAGAGGTTCTACAGATGGATAAAGAGMCACTGGTTGACCGAGCCCATCGCTCTCCAGGTGGAAACAGGTCAGGCGGTAAGTCGCGGGTCATTGTTGCGAAGCTGCACTATTATCAAGAATGTGTGGAAATACTACGTCAGGCTCGGAGTCATGGTCCTCTTCGTTTTAAAGAGACACCGGTCATCATCACATCTGACTACACGGCAGCTGTGGCCAAGGCTCGAGCGGCGTTTACGGAGGTGAGGAGGCTCCTTCGCAACCGACGTGATGTTCGCTATGGCCTGCTTTTTCCTGCATGGCTCCGCATCTCTCATGGGGAGGAAAACAAGGAGTTCATGGATGCCAATAAAGCAATGGACTACGTTAAAAAGAGGATCATCTCGGCGACGGACAACGAGGACCGGCGTTGACCGCAGGTCCAATCTTCATCGATCCATTATGACTGTCAGGTTGTAATGAACCTTTCAACTTTATGTCCCGCGTTATATCTTGTTTAATTTTAGACATTATTCTCAGGGACGACATTCCTCTTTTTGTTCTTTGTACGAGAATTTCACAGGGGGTCTGTCCAGATCTTGGTTAGTGATTTATTTATCAGTGCTGCAAGGAGCATAAACAGTAATAATATTTTAAAGTAAGGGAACCCCTTTTTTAAATTTTTTCTGTTATTGTTATTTAGTTGTGGCGGGAGTCCAGACAGGGAGTTAAGCCCCCCAGTATAAGCACAAATGTGTGGATTATTTGTTTGTTGGGTTCTCCGTGTTTTTTTTTAGGAGAAAGGGGTGGGACTATCCTGGATCTATTTGTTTTGAGAATGTCTTTTTCAGGTTATTTTTTTGTGATGGTTTGTGGATATCGTACTACAGTCCGATTGACCATACATGAGCAGTTCTAATATTAACAGGTTCATCAACAGTCACCCAGTTAACTGTGTGAGTTGGAATGTGAAATCCCTCAATGGTYCAGTGAAATTTAGGAAAGTTATGACACATTTAAGACAACTTGATGCTAATATTACTTTTTTTGCAGGAGACCCATTTGTGTAAGGCAGACAGTGCAATTCTGCTCTCTACTGGCTAGAAGACTCATTCTTCTTCGATGGAAGGATACACATCCTCCAGTATATGGTCATTGGTTAAGAGAAGTTATGTCTTACATTCATTTAGAGAAGATTAGATATACTGTTAGGGATCTGTAAACAAATTCTTTGACATCTGGCAGCCATTTATATACTACGTGGAGAAAATTTCCGCAGATAACTTTGTGTAAAGGTCAAATATTGGTTCTTTGTACACAAACCTGTGATTTGAATTTTCTGTTATATGAATACAAGATGTATTTATGGTTTTTTTTTTTTGGTGGATCCGGTGTAGGTGGGGAGGGACGGGAGGGTTCTTGGGGGTGTGTGTTTTTTTGTT